TAAATGTCTTTTTACGTTTGCGTGCATGTCCTCATTTCACAAAACTCTTGAGTTTCAACTTTGGAACTATTTTTGGGCGATTTTATAAGTTTTTATACAAAAACCTTGCATTGGGGTGTCAATTGAGTTCCTCTTTGGTTTGGCATGTTTTAGATGCTTGAATGAGGCTAGGAAATGTTTTGAAACGTGTTTGGATCATGTAGAAAGCATGTAGAACCTTGGAGATGGACCAAGCACCATTTCCACACATTGCAGCAGCTTTTCATCGCAGCAGCGGGTGTGTCAGTCGGTTGATGGAGCTTCATCGGTCGGCTGACGAATCCCTCGAGACCATTCCAGTAGCCTTTTTGGGATTTTAGGCATTTCGGTCGGCTGACCATGGGGGTTCGGCCAGCCGACGGTTGAGTTTTGGCCGGCTGATGGTTACATTTTTTGTCCGCTGATTCTCCCTGGAACCACCCCTTCTCAGCTTCCCTTGGACAGCCTTGTTGTTCCAACTTTGGAAGACCATACCTCTTTTATTTCTTATCCAAATCAGTTCATTCTTGAGTATAAGTTCATGAGCTCAAAGTTAGCTTTCCAATGGTACCAACCATTCATCAAAACTCCACCTGTAGTGAGAGTTATTCCAGTTCTAGTAAGATAGTGTCGTGGTATGTCTTAAACGGGGAAAGCCACTTTGTTTTAAATTCATATCTTTTCCGTCCAGAGTCCGAATTAGGCGATTCTTAAGTCTAACTTCGTTCATTTTTTGTTGTCTTGCCAATGGTATGCACGATGGCACCCATTTCAGTTTGGAATAACCATTTTGCCATTGGTTCATTTCTTTTCGGGTTGCCATTCTTGCTTCATTTGTTGGCTCAACTGAGTTCCGTGGCTTCATGGGGAGCCACTTTGGTGCCTTAGGGATGACGTACATCTCTTGAGGCCATTTTACTTCTTTCACTTCCACATTTCGGATCCACTATCGGGTCATCTTTTGGTTCACTACAAGACACACTTGGTTTAAAAATCCAGGGTCGCCACAATATATATATATATACACAAATTTACCAATTACAACCACAAAACAAACATGTACTCACATAGATGTACATCAAATAATAATGCATGATATGTAATAGACCCAAAATAAAATTCCCATACTCAAAAACCCTAGATTTGGATGAAAATTTTGGTCTAAGATTGACCTAACGCATATTTGCCCATTACAAACGAGTTGAATATGGGTTACAACCCATTTTGAATCCGTCCATATTTAACCTTGCCCAAACCCAACCCGTCCGTTTGCCACCCCTATGTCTTGTCAGCAAATAACAATCAATCTCTCACCAATAAGAGTATCTGATGCAGTGTGTCAAGAATGCAGAAGGACACCACACCAGGTGTGATAATCAGATATTTGGCATGAACGATTCAATTAAAATTCAATGTCAACCTTCAAGATTATTAACTACATGCAGATTTTGTGTTGATACTGGTGTGAATATCTTTTTCTTAATATGTTATAAACTAAACAAATCAACAAAGCATGGATAAAGTATTTGGGAGTGATTAGTGACAAATTCAATGAGTTCACAACATCAGTGTTGGAAATAGTGGCCTAGTTACACACACAACAGTATACTATTTGGAAGAGAATAAAAATAGAGGAAAACACTTTTTATTTCACTTGATTTGAAAATGGGTAAAATACATGGGTTTATATAAGCTTCAAAACATAAATGTAAATGAAAATTAACACCCCACTAACATAACATTTAGTAGGCAAAACTCCCACTAACCCACTAACATGACCATTACTAGTTGTAACTCTCATGCCCCCCACTAACTCCAATAAAAACTCACATAAATATAAAATTACACACCAAATAAAAAAGCACCCATAACCTTCAAAGACATTTTAAAAATATAATAAAGTTTAATTTCAAACACCCCCCCCCCCCCTTAAACTTGATTTTTTTTTAACTCCAAGCAAACTCCTTAACTTGTGAAAATCTGCAAACTTGAGGGGCTTGGTGAAAATATCCACAACTTGATCTTGTGACTTGATGAACTTAAGCTCCACCACTTTCTTGGTTATGCATTCTCTAATGAAATGAAATCTTGTATCAATATGCTTGCTTCGTTCATGAAACACCGGATTCTTAGCCAAGCAATTGCTGATTTGTTGTCCACAAATATCTCCGTTGACTCTTCTTGTAGCAAGTGTAATTCCTTTAACAAATTCCTCAACCAAATTGCTTAACAAACATATGAAGTGGCTGCAACATATTCTGTTTCACAAGTTGAGAGGGTGACAATGGGTTGCTTCTTTGAACACCATGTAAAAGTAACATTTCCTATGAAAAAACAATAGCTAGAAGTACTTTTTCTATCATCCAAATCTCCGGCCCAATCACTATTAGAATAACCCACAAGCTTGAAATTATTAGAAAATGAATAAAATAACCCAAAATCAAGGGTACCTTTGATGTAACGAAGAATCGTTTTAGCCGCCTTGAAATGAGTTATGGTTGGTCTTTCCATAAACCGACTAACAAGCCCAACTGCAAATAATATGTCCAGCCTTGTGCATATTAAGTATCTCAAGCTTCCAACAAGACTTTTGAAAAATGTTGGATCCACCGTCTCTCCATCTTCATCTCTTGACAATTTAATTCCAATTTCCATGGGCGTGTTCACCAATTTACAATCTTCCATCTTGAATTTCTTGAGAATTTCCTTAGCATAGCCTTCTTGGTGAATGAAAATTCCATCTTTCATTTGCTTAACCTCAATGCCAAGATAATAAGCCTTGATACCAATGTCCATTATCTTGAACTCTCGAGCCATAACCGTTTTGAAATCTTCAAACATTTTTGGATTGCTTCTTGTGAAGATTAAATCATCCACATACAAGTAAACAAAAAATATATCTCCATTCTCACTTACTTTGGAGTAAAGAGCATGTTCATATAGGCACTTTGAAAAATTATTGTCTTGAAAACATTTATCAATCCACTTATTCCACGTCCTTGGTGCTTGCTTCAAGCCATACAAAGCTTTCTTCAATTTCAAGACTTCATTTTCTTGCCCCCTTACAACATAGCCCATGGGTTGTTGAACATACACCTCTTCTTCAAGAAACCCATTCAAGAAAGCCGATTGCTCATCCATTTGGTGGATTCTCTAATTATTTTGAGCTGCCAAAGAAATTAACAATTTAATTGTTTCCAAACGAGCTACGAGTGCAAATACCTCATCATAGTTAATTCCAGATTTTTGGTTGTACCCCTTGGCTACCAATCTTGCTTTAGATTTTTCAACTTCACTATTTGCATTCTTCTTTGCTTTATACACCCATTTGACACCAATTGCCTTTTGTACTTTTGGAAGTGTAGTAAGCTCCCATGTGTCATTCTTTTCTATGGATTTAATTTATTCATCCATAGCATTTCTCCATTTTTTTTGTCTTATGCAGCCTCTTCAAATCCTACGGGTTCACAATCCGCAAAGAGACAAAAAAGTGTTAGATCACCTAACCTTTCCGTTACCTCATCTGTTTTGTCATATATGTCACGAAGACTCCTTATGCGAAGTAGCGGTGTGTCGCTTGAACTTGATGATGATGGAGTTGATTGATCTTGAATTGATAGTGGTGGAGGTGATGTTGGTGGAGAAATGGGCCGCTCCATGCCTTCATTTTCTTGTTCCTCATTAGAAATTGAAAAAATATTATAATCTTCATTTGGAATGTTCCAATCCCATGTAGTTTTCTCTTCAAATTCAACATCTCTACTAATGACAATCTTCCCATTATTTGGATTGTACAACTTGTAGTCTTTGGAATTTGCATCATAGCTAATGAACACCATTTTTTCTCTTTTGTTGTCTAATTTGGTCCTCCTTTCATCTGGCACGTGCACATGGGCAATGCTCCCAAAAACTCGCAAATGAGAGACATTTGGCTTTCTTCCGTTCCATGTTTCTTGTAGTGTTTTGTTTTGTACACTTCTAGTAAGACACCAGTTAGACAAGTACACTGCACAATCAACCGCTTCAACCCAAAATTCTTTAGGCATTTCTTTGCTTTTCAACATGCTTTGAGCCATATTGGTTCTGTTCTTCCTTTCTGCAACTTCATTTTGTTGGGGCGATCTTGGAACCGTTAAAGGATGATGAATTTCATTTTTTGAAATTATTTGATGTGAATTCACCACCTCTATCGGATCGAAGAGCCTTTACATCATAGCCACTTTGTTTTTCTACAAGTGTTTTAAAATTTTTAAAAATTCCATGCACCTCCGATTTTTGTTTAAGAAAATACACCTATGTTTTTCGGCTAAAATCATCAATGAATAATAAAAAATAATTATTCTTACCAAATGATGATGGAGAAATTGGACCACAAACATCCGAATGGATAAGTATAGTGGTGCCGTAGCTTTTGTGGTAGCTTTTTTAGGAAAACTTTTCCTCGATTGCTTTCCAATAAGACATCCTTCACATAATTGATTTGGATTGCTGATGAAAGGCAATCCCTTCACTATCTTCTTTTTGGCCAACAACTCTAATCCTCCAAAATTCAAGTGCCCAAGTCTCAAGTGCCAAAGCCAAGTTAAATCATTAAAACAAGCCTTCAAACATTTAGTCTCGTCGGCTTGAATATTTAGCAAAAACATCCAGTTCTTTGTCAGTGGAACATTGACAATCAAATTACCCAATGGGTCTCTTATCGAAAGACTACAATCCTTCATAGAAATATTGTAGCCTTTTTCTAAGAGTTGTCCCAAACTCAAAATATTATTCTTTATATTGGGCACATAATAAACATTAGAGATAAATTGATGATGCTCATTCCTCAAACGAATCAATATTTTACCTTTCCCTCTTACCAGAATTTGTGATAAGTCTCCAAATGTCACCTTGCCATTTATTGATTCATCAATATCAATGAACTTTTCTTTGCTACCACACATATTGTTGCTAGCATCAGTGTCAAGATACCACACATTTTCTTAATCACTCCTTTCACCTTTGTATGCCAACAACAAAGTTGGCTCTACTTCTTCATCAACAAAATTAGCCTTTTCTTCAACATCATTAGTAACATTTCTATATTCTGAAGCATAATGACCATACTTTTGACAATTGTAACATTGAATTTGAGACTTATCATACCTCATTCCATATGACCTTGAGTAATTTCCTCTACCACGACCTCTTATTTGTTGTGAGTCATAAACTTTTTCTTCATTGTTGGTTGCGTGTTGACCGCTTCTTTCTCCTCTTCCACGGCCTCTTCCTCTTCCTCGGCCACGTACATTTCCAAGTCCTTGGCCCCTTTGATTTCCTCCATGTTTTTCGTCTCTTTCGTTTAACGAAAACTCTGTTTGTAGTACTTGCTCCAAAGCTTCTTGTTTCTTCACTACCTTTTCTTTATGAGCTTGCAACGAACCCATGAGTTGATCAACAGTCATGGAATTCAAATCCTTTGACTCTTCAATGGCCATAACAATGTAATTGAATTTGGAATCCAACGACTGAAGGATCTTTCCAACGACCCTTGTATCAGTCATGGTGGTTTCGCCATATCTCCTTAGTTGATTTATAATAGCCAGAACCCTCAAAAAATAATCTGAAATTGATTCAGATTCTTTCATATGCAATGCTTCAAATTCACCCTGTAACGTTTGGAGGCGAACTTTCTTCACTTTATCAATTCCTTAGAAGAAATTTTGAAGAATCTCCCATAGTTGCTTTGCATTTTTTGCACTAGCAACTCTTTATACCATTCCATCATCCAAACATTGATGGATGGTTATCACCGCCTTTTGGTCCTTCTTTCTCATGGCTTGTAAAATATCTTTTTCGACTTGAGACAAAGTTGCCTCATCTTCTAGCTCATCATAACCTTTGGAAACAACTTCCCACACATCTTGTGCTCCCAAAATTGCCTTCATATGGATACACCAATTTTCATAATTATCTTTGGTTTATCTTTGGTGAATCGAGACATTTGAAATGGAACCAAATTGTTTGCCATTTCTCCTCTCTCACAAACTAGTTCTGATACCACTTTGTTGGAAATAGTGACCTAGTTACACACACAATACTATACTATTTGGAAGAGATTAAAAATGGAGGAAAACACTTTTTATTTCACTTGATTTGAAAATGGGTAAAATACATGGGTTTATATAAGCTTTAAAACATAAATGTAAATGAAAATTAACACCCCACTAATATAACATTTAGTAGGCAAAACTTCCACTAACCCACTAATATGACCATTACTAGTTGTAACTCTCATGCCCCCCACTAACTCCAATAAAAACTCACATAAATATAAAATTAAACACCAAATAAAAAAACATCCATGACCTTCAAAGACATTTTAAAAATATAATAAAATTTAATTTCTAACCGTCAGCCAATCTTTTGTTTCCACTCCGTTAATTGAAGAAATTCTGCCGTGTCACGAATGACTCTGTTTTGCCCATCAGGAAACTTGAAGCAATTGCATATCCATGGGAATATTTATTCAAACTAATAGATTTGATACCCAAACTACGTTGAAGTTTAGATAGAGAATTTATTTGTGCCATTTCATTTCATCTGCAGAAAAGCCCTCAACAAAAGGAATACATCATACTGGGAAAAAAGGAACTTGCAATAAGCTGGTTTCATTATTCAATATAGCATGGATCCTAGGCATAAAAAATTAGTACCGCAACAATATAGCATGGTTTCATTATTCAATATAGCATGAAATAAGCTGGTTTCATTATTCAATATCGCTAGCACAGTAAAAGCAACAATTAGTACCGCAACACTAGCAATAAGAACTTTCGACTTCTTTTATTTTTTGCTGCGTCTTACTTTGACTAGTGTAATTACTTGATCATTCTGCTGAAATTTTCCGAATTTTAGTGGAAGGTTTTGTTTCATGCACTTGTTATCTTTATAGAGCACAACTTCACAGTAGTAATCTTTCAAACACTGATCTTCGCAAGCAAATCTGCTCGGGCTGTTGAGTATGGAATACGAACCATTGAACCAAACTACATTGTCTAACTCATAAAAATTAAGTGAAACATTCCCATCCCTAGCATAATTTCTGTTGCAGCCAGAGTCATTCCGGCTCTCGTCGATCAAAACATAACCAGGAGGACATGTACAAACAGCTTCTTGATTCATCAAGGTACAATATTGATTCTCCCCACACACGCCTTTAGGAAGACACTTGTTGTCGGAAGATGACCACTTAACTTTCCAATCATCATCACTCCGATTCAAACCATATGAGTAAACCCTGAATATTCCATCTGCATCGAGTGTCATGCGGTACATCAGTTTATCAGTGACAACTCCTCCATTATATAGATTCTTTATATTGCCACTGGTGTTAAGCAAGTATAATCGGCCATTGTCATCAAGATTCAATGTCACATTGTTTCCGGCTCCGTATATTCCCGAATCCCAGTAACCATATTCTATTGTATTCGGGCTGCCTGTTGGATATTGCGCGAGGTATCCATCCAACTGCATTAACATCCGAAACTTGCCAGTGGAGTGATTGTACTTAGAGATGCTAGAGAACAACTCATTCGGTTCTTGCCGTTGGCGAAGCTGCTGACGGGGTAAAAGGGTGTCTGTTGGAGCGTCGAAACTCTGCCATATGATCTCTGAACGTGAATTATAGAGAACAAAGTTGCCGGTGTCCAGCATGGAAGCTGATGAACCAATCTCGGACCCAACGGCAATTATTTTCTCAGGGTCCTCCCCCTGTTGCAATATCAGCCTTCCATCATTACTCAAAACCAATTTACTATCTCTGCGAAATGGTGGATCATCTCGGTTCGCTGTCCAAATGACTGTTTTCTGGGCAATTGTTGCGTACCAGATGCCTATGGAGAAGCCATCACCATTTGGGTAGAACCCAAATGCAAATTGGCCAGAACCGGAGGACCAAAATGAGTTGCTAGAGGCTGGAGAGAGAGAAGAGCCTAGGCTTATGTTGGAGTTTCTTTGTTGAGCTGTTGCTAATGAAAATTCAGTCATCAAAACAAGAAACAGAGAGAATATTGGAGCCATGTGTAGGTTGGAGTGAATTGGGGATCTTTGGTTCTCTTGTATGGTGAAGAAATCAAAACACTGATTATTTTACTTTCGAGGTTGCAAAATCAGAGGATGTGAATGTGTAAGTTAGAAAATGAATGCTATATATCATGATTCCTTGTTCCGGGCTTAGTCAAAATAAAACAGAGTCTATCAAAGAAACAAAGACGCGTGTCTGGGAGTCAAGTCAACTTGTGGAATTTTAGCAGCAATGACTGGCTTTGGGACTATTAGCCACACATTTTCTATCCAAATTGTGGGAGTCAAGTCACTTGTGGAATTTTAGCGGCAAGGCTGTGGAATTTTCTATACAACTTGTGGTAGTCAAGTTAACTTGAGGTCCAGTTCAGATTCCCATAACAATCTTTTTGTCACATCAAAAATTGAAAATTTTACCGATTATTTTTCAAACTCTTTTCGAAATTTTTTTCAAACTCTCACCCTCAATCTTACTTCCAAAACAATTATTAAAATTGATTTAAATTGAAAACCCATCATAGTCACTGTTCATCTACCTCATAAAATTTATTTGATACTCTACAAAACAAAGCTTCCAACAGCACCATTAGGCCTGAATTTTTCTATAGAAATCTCTCGGAGTTCTTAAAAGACATCGATCCAGTTAAATTGATTTAACCAGATTGTCACCTACTACTGAAGCAATGAAGCAAACCCAAACATAAATTATGATTTGGAAACGACTATATGACAAAGCGGCCAAAGAAAAAAGAAACTGGACCAACTGGATCCATTTCAACTAGTATTCCTTTTGACTTTTTGATGTGTTATTTTGACTTTCAACTAGTATCATGCACGGCATTAGAATTTTTGACTTTTTGATGTGTTATTTTGTTTTTCCATTTCAACTAGTATTCCTTTGAATCAAAGTTCACCTTCAATGTCGTGCGTGTTTGATGTGCTTATATATATATCTCTTTAGCGCGAGGAATTTTAGGAGGGTGTTTTTTTTTTTTATTTTTTTTTTATGTCCAACTTGTTCTCAGTCAAATTGATAAATCAGGAGAATGTGCCTTTAATATTATTATTATTATTTTAATCTATTGGCTCTTCCGCAGCGTTTGACATACAAATATTTTCTTAGGAAAAGATTTTAAGGAAAATATATATATTTTTTTATTTATTCCGTATTTAGCAGAAGTTTAGGTCGAGTTTGGAGTCAAGTCCATTCAGCAGGATGTGTAAAATAACTTACTGAAAATTGACGATATAGACACTCTATTTAGTGGGCTTTGGTTTTAACAAATGGACCCATTAAATTTAGGCCTAATGTTTAATTATGTTATTTAATTGATCCAGACTTGGTCCACGTAAATTATTTACTTAGCCCAGCCCAGATGATTAAATCAAAAGATAATTATTCCTAATAAAATATACTTGGAATAATTAATTTTAATATAACAGGTCAGCCCGGTTATTATTATCCTTATCAGGAGATGACACATGTTATCATCCTATGGATCCAAAAAGCCTATAAATAGAGGCCTGGAGGAAGAAGGAAGGGGGACAGAAATTCAGAGTCCAGAAATCTAAGACTCAGAAATCCAGAAGGTCCAGAAATTGAGAGAATCAAAAATCCAGAGGGCCAGAAATCCCGAGGGCAAACCTGAAAGCGAAGAACACCAAGCACATCCAAAGTCGTGTCGTTTTTCACCAAATTCAACAAATTCTCTCCTTTCTAAAGACGAAGAATAACAAGCACACCCAAAGACGTGTTATTCTTCCTCAAATTCAACAAAGGACACAAATTCAGAACTCAGAAATCCAGAAATTCAGAAACAGATTTAGAATTCAGAAGTCCAGAAATCCAGAGACTCAAAAATCCAGAGACCCAGAAGTTAAAGGCACAAATTCAGAATCAAAACCCAAAAGTGAAGAACATCAAGCACATCTAAAGTAGTGCCGTTCTTCACCAAATTCAACAAATCCTCTCTGAAGACGAAGAACACCAAGCACATCAAATCGTGCCGTTCTTCATCCAAAAATCCACGGTGATTCAAGATCAAGCTCGTGCAGCCCTTGAATCCAATCAACCAAAAAGGAGATCGAATCAGAGGACTGTCTTCTTTGTAAAGAATATTATTATAGAGGATTGTACTCAAAATTTCCAAATTAATAAATTACTATTTGCTCCATATTTTGTTTCTATTTGCAGGCTTACAAAATTTGTGTGTACAAATTTCTAGCACGCCCGGTGGGACATCCTCTACCTCTCATCTCTTTCTCCTACATCAAATTCTCAATGAATTCATCGTCAAATTCTATGCCTTCCAACAAGATTCAGACGAAGAACAAGAATACTCCCAAGGGCATCGCAGTCGTGACGGAAAACATCATTACCACCACAAAAGGCGGCAAGAAGGTTACAACTTCGTCAAGTGGTACCAACATCTCTGCAAGCCCAATGATGCGAAACATAGACAAAGCATCCGTTCCTACCAAAAGGCAACACGACGCGGTAAAAGTAAATTTCGTCAAATCCGCCAAATCTTTCCACCTAACAATTCAAGCTCATACCGCCTTCACCTTACTGGGGGTAAGGAGGAAGGTTCCTACAACCTCAAAGGTTGCTCCAGTCACAAGTTCAAGTTCAAGGCTAGTCCACCCAAGGCCAAAGATTTTTTCTGACTCCATCACTATGCCAATCATGGTGATGAGTACTACCTCGTACGAAGAGCAATTGACGACTATAGCCCGTGCAATTGAAAGATTACAACACTTTCTCAAGGAGTAAGATCAGAAAATTGCCTCGCTAACAGAAAAGTTAAAATTGCGTGGTGACAATGCTGAGTCAAGCAAAGGCCGAATTCCTTATTCTAATTCCATGCCAGAAAATACTCCAATTGATGATCAAAATGACGTGTCCGCCAATTCAACAATTGATGCTGCCTCCGTTGCCTCACTTTCTGTCCAACAACTTCAAGACATGATAGGGAGTTGTAGAAGAGAACGATACAGTGGTGTCTCTCAAAGTGCTCGCATGTTCTCAAAGCCTTACACAGAAAGAATTGACATCTTAAAAATGCCGGTTAGGTATCAACCTCCAAAGCTTCAACAGTTTGACGGAAAAGGCAATCCCAAGCAACATATCGCACACTTTATAGAGACTTGCAGTAGTGCTGGTACAGACGGAGATCTCCTTGTCAAGCAATTCGTTCATTCCCTCAAAGGGTATGCATTTGATTGATACACAGACCTCAGAGCTAGAGGTATTGATAGTTGGGAACAGATGGAACGAGAATTTCTCAACCGTTTCTACAGCACTCGTCGTACTGTAAGTATGCTAGAGCTTACAAACACAAAACAGATGAAGGGTGAACCCGTGGTTAACTACATCAACCGTTAACGAGCTCTAAGTCTTGACTGTAAGGATCGTTTATCTAAAATTTCTGCAGTTGAAGCATGTATGCAAGGCATGCGCTGGGAGCTTCTTTACATCCTACAAGGGATTAAGCCTCGCACATTTGAAGAGCTTGTTACTCGAGCCCACGACATGGAGCTTAGCATGGAAAATCATGGTGCTAGGAAAGTTCCAGATATACCTGACAACCTTTAAGAAGATGAGGAAAGTGAGTCAGAAGAAAAAGATAATATACTTCTTAACTTAGACGAAGAAGTAGCATCATCTTTCATTATAAGCATCAACTCAAAAGACTTGCACCAAGAAGTGCTCCATGCTATAACAATGACTTCAACCGAAAGTGCAAAATCATAGGTGGCATTAAGTCAAGGAAACCAAGAAGAAAATTCTCAAAGTGACAATGAGATAGTCTGTGCCCTCCAGTATAAGCTTAGACTATCGTCTGATTCTTGCAAAGTTAAAGAAAATAATTAAAGTCGAAGATGCTCCCAGATACGAGCCTAAACTGTCGATGATACTCCCTGGCACGAGTACAAACTGTCAACTTGAAAAAAAATGACACTCCTTAACACGAATTTAAACTGTCTACTTGAAAAAAAAATCAAGAACTCCTTGACACGAGTTTAAACTGTCTACTTGAAAACAAAGTCAAGAACTCCTTGATACGAGTTTAAACTGTCTACCAAAAAAGAAAAAAATGATACTCCCTAACACGAGTATAAACTGTCAACCTAAAAAACAAAAAAATCAAGAACTCCTTGACACGAGTTTAAACGGTCTACTTGAAAAAAAAATTCAAGAACTCCTTGATACGAGTTTAAATTGTCTCCCAAAAAAAAAAAAAAAAAAAACAAAAAATAACACTCCTTGACACGAGTTTAAACTGTTTACTTGAGAAAAAAAAGTCAAGAACTCCTTGATATGAGTTTAAACTGTCTCCCAAACAAAAAAAAAAAAAAAAAAAAAAAAAAAAAAAAAAAAAAAAAAAAAAAATTGACACTCCTTGGCACGAGTATAAACTGTCTACTTGAAAAAAAATCAAGAACTCCTTAACACGAGTTTAAACTATCTACTTGAAAAAAAAAAATCAAGAACTCCTTAATACGAGTTTAAACTGTCTACTTGAAAAGAAAAAAAATGACACTCCTTGACACGAGTATAAACTATTTGCCTAAAAACAAAATCTCGATGATACTCCTTGACACGAGTATAAATTATCAACTTAAAAAAAAAAAAAAAAAAAAAATGACACTCCTTGACATGAGTTTAAACTGTCTACCTAAAGAAAAAAAAAGCTGACACTCCTTGATACGAGCTTAAACTGTCTACCCGAAATAAATTAAAAAAAAAAAAATGACACTCCTTGACACGAGTATAAATTGTTTTCGAAAAAAAAAACTGTTTTTATTGAACTACGTGATGACTTGATCCCTTTCTCTTTTGAGGGTACGTAGGCAGCTTAGGATTTTATTTAAGTTCAGTTCGACCAAAAAAAAAAAAAAAAACCTCCTTAGAGTTGCAAAATGGCAAAGTGTGCTCGTCACATGATACCAAAAGCGCTCGTCACAAATTTTCAACTTGGCTCGCTATCAAGATG